CTTCAAAAGAGGTGTTCTAAAGAGTAAAAGTAACATTGTTCGCTGTAGACTGTTCAGCCTCATCTCCCGAAAATGCTTTGAGGGTCTGCTGTTTTTTTTTCAAAAACTCTTAGCTCGCATACCAATCCTCTGATGGCATGTTTTTCAAGAATGTATTTTAATACACAGATTTTTCACGACTACCTGAAGAACTCTGTTGGCGTCGCGAGCGAGTGGAAGCCCCGGTGGCAAAGAAGCGAAAGATGATTGATGATAGTGCAGAGGTTGTTCAGCAAAAACTGATGCGATTAGAACAAGCTGAACAAAACGAAGACATCGTCGAAGAAGTGGAGGTGCAACCTTTATTCCAGCTGTTTTCGTTGCTATTTGACTGTTGTCAGCTGTTTGACAGCAGTTTTACGTGAATTCTTCTTTCATCCACAGATGATTTAGGATGAAGATGATGGCTCAGAGGATTCTCGGGAGCAGCCAGGCAGCGCTGTGCAATCTGAGGACGATCTTGAGGAAGAGAACGACTACTGCGCAAATTACTTTGATAATGGTGAAGGGTATGGTGATCTCGGATCAGATGATAACATGGATGGTGATGAGTACTAGACACCCGATTGTTGATTTGTTGATGCTTGTTGGTACCGTGAATAGCTTGTTATCTGTTATGTTGTTTATTTATCGGTTGTTTTTCTTTGTATGAAGAGATATAATAAAAGAGTGGTATTTCTACTCATGAATGTGCTGCACAGTTTACGCGATCGTTACTTGAACCTACCTTCATTTTTTACCGTTTTCTTTTACATGTATAACTTTAGGGTAAATATTTGGTGGCGAAACCAGCAGCGTATCTCCCATTCCAATGCTACCTGAGCTTGATCAAAAGCCCCACATTCCTTGATCACAATCGTACCCTCTCACCATGATAGGTCTGCAAAGCCAGCCCTTATTGTTTAAGACGCAGAGCACAGTTGAGTAGTTATCTCCAGCCTCTTCACCTCGGTTGTTATATGCGTAGGGGATATTTTATTCTCATACTGGTGACTATGGGGTATGTGGACTTATGTGCGTCCGAGGATGCGCTCGGCGAAGTTCGTAACGATTTGAACGACTTCAGCGCCTATCATTGTGGCCCAAATTTGAAGTATGGTGGATTAGAAGGATCATCTGACCCTACTAAACTACTCTACTTGGAGTTTGTGCCCCGAAAATTGGCGTCAGAGTCGCACAAATCTTCACGTTCCGCCCGCCACTTCGAGACACTATTTAGAGTAGGTCTCCAAACATTTTCGACATATAGAATTCCTGTCAGGTTCTGCCCTTTTTAAGGAACGTGATGGGTGAACGATACGTTAAAACGAATTGAATCTCTGGGATAGTGAATGCTAGGAACCTTGCGGTTTTCAATTAAGCTGGTTACTGTAGGAAATCGTGTTATACGCAAATACGGCAAGCCCGCGAAAACGCTAATTCATATTTTGGCCAGTTTAATGGCTGTAATATCGGTGGCAGTGACTCCTTTGCTAGTTTTTTCTATTTTATCCCTTTCTCGTGTTTTATCGAACCTGGAACTCTATACAGGAAATCTGAAGAGCCGTTTGACATGACTGTTCAGTCTTCCGAACACTAGTTTCTCTGAAGTAATGGCTTTATCATGAGACATTCACGTGGCGGTATTTTTTCAATTCCTGTCTTTCCAAGGTTCGGAATTGCGAGGAGCTGGAGCATCGTGGAATCTGATACATCATTAACTCTCGAACCGCTTTAATTTGTATTTTTACTTAACAATGCTGAGTATTTTTTATGAGATATATGAAGTTTTTTTTTGGTTTTACTTTGTCGTGGTCTCGTGGGAAAGTTCCTTTTTTGCTGTCAAAAATTCTTCTGTATTGTGCAATTCAGGTCGTTTAAATACTTGAAGTCCCTCCAGCCATGGGAATTAAAGACCTTTCGAAAGTCATAGCTGACAATGCGCCTAATGCAATTAAGTTACACGAAATGAAGAACTACTTCGGGAGAAAGGTAACATAACTCTAAATTTCTCACTGTGTTCAATTGTATCGTCATATTTTAAAATGATCGACTTATTAAGGTGGCTGTTGATGCTTCAATGTGTTTGTATCAATTTCTTATAGCCGTTCGCCAAGACGGCTCTCAGTTGCAGTCGGAAAGTGGAGAGGTCACAAGGTAAGTTACGAATAGACCTGCACTTGGAACCTTAAGAATAACTGAATGAGACGTCCATCTGGGATTGGGCAGCACTCTATAAGGTGCTTTCTAATAACGAAAACATCTGAAATAGTATTGTTTACAGTCATTTGATGGGTATGTTTTACCGCACGATTCGAATGATCGATAATGGTGTGAAACCGTGCTACGTGTTCGATGGGAAACCTCCAGATATGAAAAGCGGGGAGTTGGAAAAGCGAATGGAAAGACGGTAAGTACTTTTAGGAATAATGTAGAGTGGGGGACCGACACGACGTGCGTCCGAAGACGCGCGCGGCAACTTGCGAGGCGGAATTCGTGACGACTTGTACGACTCTGACGCCAGTTTTCGGGACACAATCTCAAGGTAGAGTGGTTAAGTAGGGTCAGGTGATCCTTCTAATCTACTCAACTTCAAATTTGGGCCCAATGATAGGCGCTAAAGTCGTTCGAATCATTACGAACTATCGTACGCACGTAGTGTCACATACCCATGTAGAGTCTCTGTAAATGCATAACATCTGCAGTGCTGAAGCTGAAAAAGGACTTACCGAGGCGAAAGAAAAAGGTGATACCGTTGCTGCCGACAAATTTGAGCGACGACTTGTGAAGGTGAGATGTTTTAATCCGCTTTTCTCCACCAGCCAGTTCATCAATCTCCCTCTTACAGGTTACTAAGGAGCAAAATGAAGACGTTAAGCGACTTTTACGTCTAATGGGAGTTCCTGTTGTTGAAGCACCATGTGAAGCTGAAGCCCAGTGTGCTGCTCTTGTTAAGGCTAATAAAGTGAGGATTTCGTTTTCGCTCTCTAACTTAACTACCATTATACCTTAGAACCGCTTAATAATTCTACATTGATTATAGAAACCGTGTTTCGAGTCTCGTGCCTTCAGGTCTTTGCAACAGCTACCGAGGATATGGATTCTTTAACATTTGGTTCTAATATTTTGCTACGGCATATGACATTCTCTGAGGCGAAGAAGATGCCGATCAAGGTTGTTACTTAAATTACATACCAGTTTTTTGGAATTTTCAAGTAGCTGGCGGCGTTACAGGAGTTCTCCCTTCCTCGTATCCTGGAAGATTTCGATATGCCAATGGAGCAGTTTATTGATCTTTGCATTCTTCTGGGATGTGATTATTGCGAGTCGATACGTGGAATAGGTCCGAAGAAAGCTTTTGAGCTTATCAAAACTTATGGAGATATTGAATCGATATTGGAAAATATTGATACAAAAGTAATAATCAGTTCTGTATTTTCTCCGTGGATGTTTTGATATGAAGCCTATTTGTTGGGTTGTTCTTCAGAAATACGTTCCTCCGGATAACTGGCCATACAAACGCGCAAGGGAATTGTTCCGTAATCCTGAGGTCGCAAATTGCGATGAGATCAACGTAAGCCT